TTTCTGCTACGCTTTCTGGGCTCTTCTCCCATTATACTGTTCTTTAGCTCTTTTCAAGATCAGAGGTCCACCCATAGGGCACCTATACACATGATGCCATTAACATGTACATGTGATAAAAATGTAATTTTAGTGGCTTAATGGCATCACAATGTACACATGCAAGACTTTTTGGGGGGGTTAAAATGACGTTGCATCACGACAAACTAAATTATACCTGGAGGTAGTTTAGGTTGCAACAATGTAGCTTTCAGCTCATCCCCCCCAGTCATGGGAGAGGTGGGAAGGCTTTCTAGAAAAAAAGGATCAGGCCCCACAACACCTCTCCCTTCAGCAGCTGCCTGCTGAAGATAGAAGTGGCAAGGGGCCCAATCCTTTTTTCTTTTCTGGTGGGTTTTTTATTTTTTGGTGGAGCCTACCTGCCTCCAAACTGGGACAGCACCTAGCCTGCCAGCAGACTGCCTGGGCAGCTCCAGAGGGTGCTGCCACCACAGAGGGAAGGACCAGCCCCCCCCCCCCCAACCACTTGGCCCACCAGCAGCTTGCCCCCGGGCTGTGGGCAGGCTCCAGCTCAGACAAAAAAAATAAAAAAGGATTGGGCCTGTCACCATAACGTGATGGAAAAATTGAAATGGTTTAGTCCTCAGGGTTTTATTATGTGCCCCACCATTTTAATTTTGGGGGTATAGAATAAAATTTTGGGGATTAAACCCCTGTCATGTGTATAAGTGCCAACAGAGACCAGTCTGCAGTAGAAGCTAGGCTTGTAAACTTAGCCAGAAAGGGACATGATGCTGGAGATGAGACTTTATCCCTGCTCTCTGAAGCCATGAATCTATAAACAATATTTTTCTTCAAAATGCTTTAAAAAACAAGGTTCATATTAAATTTGGGGGCTTCCTGTATGCAAGAAAATACAGTATTTTAAGACTTGGTCTTGACACCTATAGTGAGGCAAAATCAATACCTAGGCAGGATGGGAACCTAAGGTAATGAAACTAATAACATTTGACATCTTCTCAAGGAGAAATGTAAAGGACGAGGAGTTCATAAGCACACTTACACCCTCTTCATTCCTGTTTTTATATCTTGAAGAGGAATAAATAAGTATTTGACTGTACAGGTAAAAAGCTGTTAAAATAATTTATTTATAAAATCTATCAAAACAGACAGAAATACTGTGAAGCCTTTTTAAAGCAGCATATACTAATGGAATAAAAAAACTGTGGAAAAGAATAAACTCCCAGTGCACCAAAAGGTAAATTGCACTAGAAAACTAGCTTGATG